CAAATTATAGTAGTTGCTAAAAAATATATCTACGTGTCTCAACTGTTCATCAGAAGGATGCTAAAATGCGTGCAATTCCACCATTGGTTTCGGCTCCATTAAATCCTATACCAATTGCAGAACATTTTAGGAGGAGCCACCTACCGTGTGGGCACAGTCGCGGACAACATATATAAGTGAGGAAAATAACGCAAAGCAAAACCAAGAGCAAAACTAACTCCCCATCAAAATCTTTTTGACGGGATCAAAACACTCTTGTCCCTATCTGAGAGCGACTTTCAACCCTAAAATATGGCGACTACACTGATGAATGTTTAAACATTTGTCAAAACATCCTCAACAATTGGATCTTATTAAATATTCCGTTTCTTTTATTGATTCTACGTAATTGTCTGATCAATCCTGACACCCCGAATTGCTCTTTCGAGGCTAGAAGTATTTTGTCCATTAGCCACAACAGCTCAACTCTTTTCAACTATATTGATAGGGTTCGGTCCCCTCCGCTCTGTGAAAGTAATTTGTATTTTAGATAAGAAAATAATGATATTAATAAACACTGTTAGCCAATGAAATACGCGCGCACTAATATATTTCTCAATCATATGTGTAACGCTCCAATGGTTTCAACTGCATGACAGTTACGTTTTAAGCGGAAAAAAAGTTGCTTTAACTAGGGTATTTAAATTTTTTCTATATGTATCATCAACTAAGTCATTAGGACTTTTTAGCAGATCGGTTATATAACGTACAGAAAATTTCAAGTTCATTTTTAGCCTGTCCGCGGACTTTTTTTTTTAGTTGTAGTTGTTAATTTTGGCGCCATATTTTTCACGATATGATACTATAAATTCCCCGGGGGGTACTTTAGGAATTTCTGGGTGGGGATGTGCCGCTGGGACCCTGAAACCCTTGACCTATACCAGAGCTAGTTCAGCTGAATTTTGTTACCCTATACTAGAGTAAACTCCCCAAATCCCCCCTATCCTAGATCAGATTAGCTGTTGACTACTGAGGTCACTAGAACAGTCTAGTCAAAACAAAACCTTATACCGCAGTCCCTAGTCTAGATAAAATCTTCAGCCAACTGATCAGTTTCCTGAAAAATGATGCCCTATTCTAGACCCAAACGCTCTGATTTATGTACCCTATCCTAGAGTATAAAACTGCTTGAAAACCATACTCTTCACAGCGGCACATACCTATATAGCCCATATATGGCAGTACCCCACCCCCCCGGGTATAAATCCCGCTCATTCAGTTAAATTGAAGTAAGTATGAGCACACTGCAGTGACAAGACACTCTCGTTTAGACTACGAGTAGTCCCCCATTTTTCCTCTAGGATAGTAGAGCGAGCAAAACGCGAACGCGCGTGAAAATCAACCCACGCGAGAAAAGGCGACATTTTTCTCTCTCCCGCCGCGTGTCGCCTTTTCTCGCGTGGGTTGATTTTCACGCGCGCTCGCGTTTTGCTCGCTCTACCATCTCTGAGGAAAAATGGGGGACTACTCGTAGTCTACTCTCGTTGGACTGAAACTAATCGATTAGACTAATCTCGATCAGACTGTATGCCGTCCACCCGTCCGGGCCTCACGAATCCGTTTGCGTTCGAACTCGGCTTATTTGCCAACTTTACGGGCGTCCACACAACGAGGACGCATCTTCTCCGGAGATTGTTCGCAAAAAGGTTAACAAAACGATGAGAGAAAGAGCTTAATGTTTCAAAACTTAGGATCTGCCCTTCCCGGAAACTGAAAGCGTCGGCTATGCCGTCTTTCGTGTCGGCCTTGGAAGCGACCTTTTCACTGATTTCTTTATTTGAACTATATTAATTTGAGTATAAGGCCCTGTCCGCACTACGACGAACAAAAGTTGTAAAGTTTGCGGGCAAAAAGTTTGAAAATCTTGTAATCACCAATTTTTCGTTTTTGCAACCTTGTTCGCATAATTGGTCATGTTCGCGAGATAAGATGAAATAAATTCTTGTGTGAATACTGCGTTTATTTATATTAGTCTGCAAATCGGAGGTCTTGCTTCAGTTTGGTAAATAAACTCAGCTGAAAACATATAGCGTTAACTGGTTACCGCGGAAACAAAATATGTGTTTAAAGCATCCACATAATTTATTATAAATTCTGAACCCTTTTGGCCCAAGTGATGATGAAATATACAGTGAATACGGGAAGATAAGATCACAAGCGAAGAAGCCTGAAATCAACTTTCTTTTTCTAAACATTGCTTGAATGGATTTTAAAGTGCTTTGAATTGGCTTCAATTCAGCCAGTTTTGGGGAAAAAGGATTAAATCCCGGTCGACAAACAACAGGACGGAGGTGATGGCGTTTTGGTTCATACCGTCCGGTAAGCGAATTTTCCTCGTAAATTTATTCATTATCTTTAGTGTATAAAAAGAAAATCTCACACGTCAAACCGAAATGGGAATTTAATGTTGCAACTATCATCCCAAACCGTTTTAGAGCTAACCGGGTTCAACCGAATCAATTGCCGTAAAGAAAGCCGAAATTTGTCAATGTTCTTTCTATTCTATCGCCTCACGTGATGTAAAATTTTATTATTATTCCGTTGGAATTTCATTTGTCACAAAATGTTTTTAACATTTTGAATATTTGAAAAAAAGATTATATTAAAGAAAACTGACCGTGGCGTTAATCAAAAAAGAAAACATTATTGCTTCTTGTTACGGAACACTCTATCTAGCATGCAGGGGCTACAAAATAAAGGAGCTGCTAAGGGGCAGGGATAGGATGCTATTAACAAAAAAATAGGTGATGTAACAAAAAAAAGGTCTAATTCTGGCAGTCCGACACTGAGATATGTCAATATCAAAAGAGCGAGAACTTTCCAGTTAATAATTTTAAAGCATTCTGGCCATTGTAATAAAGACGCTATCAGAGCACTTGAATATAGTTTTATTGTAGTATAGGTTTTCAAAAACAGGAAAACAATTCTTTTTTAAAGAAGAAGACAACGAATTATCATTTCTTTCCTTGTCCGTATTTTGTAATAATTCTGTTGCTAAGTACACTGTGTCTGTTATTTATATATTTTAATCAGCAAATTACTGAAAAATAATTAATTCTTAATTGTCAATAAAAATTCACTCCTTTTTTAACTCTGGGCATGTATGCAATGATGACTTCAGTTGTTCTAAATGCTCCAGGAACTTGTTGAAGGCCATCTAGAATGCCCCTATAGAGCTCCAAAATTCATTTTTTAAAAAACAACTTTACAGTAGTCTTATATTTTTTTTGTCATACTAGAGCAAGTTGACTCTTTTCGAATTTATTACTAATTTCTTATAATTTTCCAAAAATTCTGAACTACTTGAATCTTTAGCGAAAATGAGAGATACCCCTTTCAGTCACTATTTTTTAAACCGAAAGTTTACAGTGCGACTACGCGAACCGGAACACTTGGAAGAAGATTATCCAATCCCAACGTTTCTTGAAAACAAAAGATTCGCAAGTTTTTTGTGCAAACGGACCAAAACAATTTAAGGTTTAAGAACCTAAATGACCTCTCAGGAAACAGTCCTCAAATTTATGCACTCACGTTAATGGTCCGTTTGCAAAAAAGCTTGAGAATCTTAAACGTTGTGATTGGATTATCTTCTTCTATAAGTACCCCAATGGCTGCTCTGCAATGACGTCCGGCGTTAAACTGTGAAGTGTTGAAAATTCTGTCAACCATCTAACTGGCTGGCTCTAATCTGTTGGAAATGGCTCTCGTTAGAAGAGTTTATGTACATGCTTTGGATTGTTTACTAAAACTCAGATGCAATGCATTAAGTTTTTCTTATTTTATTATTAAAAATACTTTGCCCTTGATTTCTTATGACGGATAGAGGCTTGTTTTTCATCGTCCTTCCGTCATCTAGTGATTATCAATATACTTAAAGAACGACTAACAATTATGTCTCACTTATTAAGTATATTATTCTGTGGGAGATTTTCTAGGAAGTTGTGGCTTGCTACCTTTTCGGATTCCTAATTTAACTTATAAAAATTATCCGATTTACCCCGATAAAACGTTCGTTCAACATTTGAGTCCGCATTAGAAAAAAAGGTAAAGCTTGGCGAGAAATATCCTCAGTTTATAAATAGAGCTATTGACTAGAATTCAGAGAACAAACAAAACCGAGAGGGTGGTCGGCGTGCAAAGTAACTTCTCGCGCGTATTGTGTTGTCTCCTTCTGAGTAGGCAGTTCCCTCTCAGGGTTTGTTGCTGATTAATAAAATACCTTTTATATTTTATCTGTTGTCTCTTAGGGTACGTTCCCGCGACAGTATTCTTGGTTTTCATCATAATAATTTTAATTGGTCTCCTTGCAACATACTACTGCCTGAGCAAGGAGCTATGCCCATGTTCCAAGATGGAGCCCGTCCAAAACAAGGGCGCGGGCTACGAGGAACTAGGGGAGGAACCCGCTGCAGATAGTGGTAATTCAGAGGAAGAAGAGGAAGAAGTAGCTGCCTCGGAGGAGGAAGAGAAAGATGGTGGCCCGCAGAGGGATCAGGAACTTCCCCCGGAAACACTGAAAATGTTCGGAACCGACGAGGAAGTTCAAAAGAGCGTGTCAGCATACGGTGATATTCAAGTAGATACGGGACTGAAGGAAGTCGATCGGGTCCCAGTTTACGGCACTGTTCATTTACAGTTAGGCTATTCACCCAATGTTGGTCGCTTGACGGTCACTATTTTAGATGCACGCGATGTTCCCGGCAAAAGTCGAGGAGGCAGCTCACATTGTCGCTTTCATCTTCTTCTACTTCCTTCGCGCAAACAGCGCTTTAAAAGCAAGACGCGTTCCACAGCAAATCCTAAATTCGACGAGAAGTTTGTCTTTGATCGCATCTTACAGCAGGACTTGTTTAGAATGGCCATCAGAATCAGACTTTATGGACATGATAAACTCGGAAAGGAGAAACTGATCGGTGAACATCTTTTTCAGCTGGCGGATGTGGCCCAATCAAAGGATAAGAAGTTGGATGTATGGAGAGACCTAAGGGCTAATCTGTCCGGAAGCACCACGCCTTAATGTTAAGGACTACTATTCTACATTTTTCTGTAATAACGGCCATTAGGGAATTTTTAGGCTGCGAAAACAGCCGTCTCTCTCCTCGCTCCTTGCCGCTTGAAACGTCCCTTGTGGCAAGTAGCGTGGTGAGTCGACGGCTCTTTTCGCGGGCTAGGCAATTTCCAACTTATTAACATAATATAAAAACCTTTGAAAGCGATGAATATTTTAGTACCTTAAAGGGGCACTGTCATGTTATTTGCTATCTTTTTAAGAAGCTACATGAACTCGTCTTCGATCAATTCAGTTGCAAATTGGAGTAATGGTCTAGTCAGTTTGTTATTCTTAAAATGACGATATTTGACACTAGCCTGAAACTGTCTCCCGTTGTGTAATCTGTTGCAATGGACGTCAGGGATGGCTTCAAACTTGAAACGGTTGGGCCAACCTTTTCAAGTTGAACAATATACCTGCAAACCCAAAAGAATATTCCTGATAAAATAGGCCAATCCGAGTTCCAAATACTCTTACTTTTAAAACTTGACTAAGAGCAAAACCTTTCTTGTCAAAATGAGTTTATCTGCATGATTCTAAAAAATCATTTCCATATCAATAGCTTGGTTCTTAGCCTCACTTTGAAACAGAGGCTTGCGGTAACCCGAAAATGGCTTATTTGTTTGATATCTTTTCTCATTTTACAGCAGCATTTTATTTATGGGTTAAGGCCAGAATTGACCTAAAACAGCAATATCCTCGTGACATACCTCCTTTATTTTCATGCGAGATTATTTTGAGTTGTAGCGCAATGATGGGCTCGTTGTTAAAGAAAAGATACGTAAAGAAAACCAGGCCAGGCCACTGTGATGCGTCGACTGCCATGCAGACTCCCTCCAAATATAAAACCGTTCACTTAAGTTGCATTTGTAAGAGAGAACGTGCAGCCTGATCTAGGGCTTCTTTGATTCTTGGCCTACTGTCTTCGTACGCAGAGATCACAGGCTTCTCGTTCTTAGTGGGCAGTTGGTCGCGGGGCGAAACTCTGGTGTCAACGGATTTGGAGAAAAATAAATCTTGAAGTAAATAAATTCTCAGTTGAAATACTACGACAATGAAAGGTTGAAAATCGTCTTCTGATTAGGATTCGTTAGGGAAGTGTTCTTTATAAACAACCAGAACAAAAAAATATATATTATTTCTCCCCGTCTTTGGGTAAGCCTCTATACCCGTCTGTGGATATCATGTTCATCCGCTGACCTAAAAGCTTCAGAGCTCTGATGGTTCCGTTGGAAAAGATAATGGCGGCTGGTGTTTGTAATAAATAGGCAGTCATTTACACGATTTCACCAGCTCAAGAAATTAATGGTTGGCAACCTGTGCTGTATCATTGATGTAACATTAATAATCATGTGTTCATTATAAAAGTGGTAAGAATAATTTAATTTCAACAAAGAAATATATTTTTGGCAAATACTCATCATTTTCCCCTTTTTTCTGTCATAATCATTATGGTTCAAGTGGATCAAAAGAATTATATAGCACAAAGCTGTCTGGAACTTTAAATACTCAACAAAAAGCGAATTAATTTTGTTGATTTAATGTTTGAATTGAAAACAATGGCATTTTAATCTGGCCACTCTTGAAGAATACCGAAATTGTTTCGTCATTTCTAAATGTGTCATTATTCTGAGAAACTCAAAACATTTCCGAGAATTTCTAGACCATGACGTCTTGTGTTTTCGTGTAATCTGATTGGTCGTTAAAAGTGATTTTAAAATGCCTCGTCGCTCGCCCGTATCTTCCGGTGTCTGCCATTTTCACTGCAGTCGGTAAGGAAAAAGAAGCGATGGCGACGAGTTTGGGAGATTGTTATGAGCTTCTCGGTCTCGCTCCTGATGCAAGTGAAGAAGACGTAAGACGAGCTTACCGACAGAAGGCGCGAGAATGCCACCCCGATAAAAATCCCGACGACCCAAAAGCGAAGGAAAAGTTTCAAGTCCTCACGCAAGGCTATGAGAGAATTGTCGCCGGTTCCAGCGCGACTGAACGAGATGACGAGCCAGCTTTTTATGAGTTTGAAAGTTTCTTTCATTTTGTAATGTTTCATGAGATGATGAGAAGACGGATGGAAGAAGAAATTATGGCGAGGATGTTCGGAGGCCTTTTCTTCAATGACAGCGATGATGAGGACGATATCCCGTTTGGATTTTTTAATATTCCGTTCTCTCGGCGTCCAAGGCGTCATGATTCATTTGCACGATCAAGTAGAAGGCGTTATCAAGAGAATTCGCGTTTCCAAAGGTCATCATATGATCGGACCGAGCGTCCTTCCGCTAAGCCGCCAAAGAAAGAGAAACGTAATCCTCGAAGTTCCGCTCAAGGTACAACCAGCGGAGAGAACAAAAGACCCAGCGACAGGTCAAGAACTTCAAAACCAAGAAACGAAGATGCCAATATAAACTGCAATA